AAGCTCAGAACACTGGGTGTTTCTAACCACTGAGCATGATGGCTCAGTGGTTAGCACTGTCGCCTCACAGCAAGAAGACCCTGGGTTTGATCCCCGGTTCGGACCATCCTGTGTGGAGTTTGCATGTTCGCTTGCATGGGTTTTCTCCAGGTACTCCGGTTTCCCCCACACCCCAAAAATGAGTACAATAGGTACTATACTGTAAAGTACTTTTAGGCTCAGGCCTTCCTTGCAAAAGAGATCTGCAATCTCACTGGGATTTGCCTGGTTAGATAATGGTATCTTCTCTCCTTCATCCAAGGAATGTGAAGGTTTGATTAAAACCCAATGTCTTTTCTGGGAGAGCAATGGGCCCAATTACAAGGACCTTGCTTATACAGGTTCTCCATCCACCCCCACTCACCATAACCATAAGGCTCTGTCTGGGTTCAAACCTGGGTTCTGCACATTTGTATTTGCCATTATAGCCTAATTCCTGGAACCCAGATACCTAGGGTTCTCTTTAGTCCAGGCTGCTGGAGCCAGTGTGAAGTTGTCTCGCTCTGTTTCAGTTGGTCTTGAATTAAATAGAGAAGAAAGAGAAACACACGAGCTCAATGTCACCCTCTGTTGTGTCGCAAATAAAATGACATCATATAAAGATTTGTGCTTTTTTGATATGATGATCCCGCCCACAATGAGTCGACCCTCTGCTCAAAGCAAACACAACCGGGGCTGGGGTAGAAGAAGTCCAGGCTGACTATGGCCCGGTCCTTACAAAGCAAAAATGCCACAAGACATAAAAAACTGTCTAAAATAGTGATTATTTTTCCACGAGGGCTCTGACCATCTCTATTAACAACTAGAGTCAACCTTATTCCTGGTGGCTGGCTCAGCTTCAACCTCAGCAAACATAATTGACCAAAACTCAGTCACCTTCATAGATATTGAGCTAAACTTGATGGAGTTGCTCAGTAGTATTTACAGTCTTGATATTGTGCAAGAGATAATATCTAATGTTAATGTAAGGATTGATCAAAACAGATACAATGCTGTCATTTCTCATCATGAGATGATTTCAGTCTAAAACTCAAATCACTAAATGCAGCAGACGATTCCTTCAACAAATGTCAGACCTTTAATTGAATGCATGTTTTTATGTTAGCTGCAGAAGCTCCTGTAGCCCACAGTTCAGCCCCTGTTAGTCTGAGTCGTACAGAACACGTCTCAGGTCAACGTTGGTCTCTGTTTGACAGTAACCTGCTGCAGGTCACAGGATGTTCATCATGTAGCAGCTCTGAAATCTGTCTGCTCCATCTGAGCTCCACGTCTGTGTGTGACGCAGCGCTCATCACTCTGTCAGTGTTACACAGATCTCTGTACAGTCAGTACAGTGTGAGGGTCTGCTCAGCTGTTCTGAAGTCTTTGTTCTGCTTTATGAGGTGAAAACACGTTTGCGTTGGTCCAACTGATCTGACGTTCAGAAGCCTTCCGTCTGTCGGAGAAGAACTCAGGTTGTTTCAGAGCGTGAACCCTGCAGACAGCAACACTGCTGCTGTTTTTCTGTCTGCAGAGAGTAAAAACACCAGGAGCAGTGATGGAGTGGGGGGTGGCGGGGGGGTGAACTCCCTCATTAATGCACTGCAGCGAGCCACCCACTAATAATTAGCATGAACAATTATTCAGTCATTATGCAGGAACCTTGTGCAGAGGAAAAGCTGCTGAAACTTCTTCATTCCTCAGAGAATAATAAAAATAATAACTGAACCTCGACTAGTTTCTCTTCAGAGGAGTGAAATCAGAATATTTCAGGTTATGAGTCCATAAATTTTAGATTTGATTATAGCCTTTAGTTTCTTTCACTGTTATGCTGATTTCTTTCCCTTTCAATCATCCTGAAAGTTTCTTGTCTCGATTTGTTGTTGTTTTTTTTCTTTCTTCAAGCTGCAGCAAAATCTGAAATTTGTCTTTTGAAATATTTAAAACTTGGAAAACACTGTGGATGTTTGTGCTTCTCTTTTTTAAAGGAGCAACTCATTTGTTGAACCTGTGCATGTTCTTGTTTGCCTTCTGAGAGTGAGACGAGTCATCTTACAACCAAATCAAACCTTTAAAAGCATTAAACACCCACGTATTTCTTTCTATTTTTTATTGTCAAGAAGAAATTCTCAGTGAGTTTTATTCAGCTCTTGCTTATTACAGTAAAAACAACAATTATTTGCCACTTTAAAATGAATCCAATGATTTTAGAAGAAAACACACAATGCAAAAAGAACCAAAAGCTCTTCCTTTATTTTTAGGATGCAGGGTTTTTAAGGTTCATGAAGCTCTTTGAAATGGTTTGTTGAGCGTGAGTCATTCTGACTGATATTAGGAAACATCTCAGTTGATCCAAACACATGTAGCTCTGAATGCATCAACATTGTGGGTTTAAAATAAAAACAAGAAGCTGCTTCTGTTAGATATGATCAAGAGCTATGATCAAATTTTCAGAGAAACTCTGTGAACCTATAACGAAACATCAGTGGGTCAAAGATGGTACAAAAAATCCTCTTAAAGACACCGTTTGACAGCTAACACTGAATCACCTGTTAAGCATGGAAGTGGTAGCATTATGCTGTGGTACAGGTAAGTAACATAAAGAGGACGAAGTAATGAAGGACTACCTCCAAATTATTTGGCTTCACCTCAAAGAGGGACAAAACTTGGACACAACTGTCTGTTTCTACAGGACCGCATGCAAGAACATGTTCGTATTCTTATCCTAAATTTCTCTTACTTTTGTTCGTACGAAGGGTTCGTACGAACATGTCACGTCAGATTCAACAAACTCTTCTATCTTCAGGAAAAGAGTGTAAATGAGGAGTGTAAACTGATGAATGGGTATCCAAGTGCTCGTGCACGGGGAGAGGAGATTAGCATAATCAACCACCCCAAAAACACCATATAAGGCTATGTTTCCTGCCCCACATACCAGGAAGTGTCCATTCATACATCGCAAAGTAAAAAAGAAAAACTTTACGAGTTCGGAGATTGAAGTCCTGCTCTCAGAGATCCAAATAAAAAAATCTGTCATTTTTATCAGCGTCAGACCTGCTAAAGTCGAGGAATGAAATGACGACTGCTGTTAATGTTGTGTCTCCTGTGGGTCGTAAACAGACACAGAAATAAAAATCTAAATTATATTCATCTCTCTCTAGTCCTGCTCTGGTTTTTCTTTGGTCAAATATTTTTGATTTAAGTGTAAACTGTGTTACTGTGTTTACATTTATTCAGAAGAAGAGCAGTGGCGCACCGCTACCCACCCCGGCCTGACTGTCTCCCCCCTCCCGGCCGTCGCAAGTGTCAGATGCGGTTCTGAAAAAAAGCATTTTAAAATGTCTCCAAACTTCAATTAATGCATAATTTAAGTTGGTTTTTAGTTTGAGATCTTCATATTAATATTGTAGTGTTATACAACATCAGCCAATTTAATTTAACCAATTTATGTTCTTAGTTACATTTAAAATCTAATTCCAGTTCAAACAGAATAGCCTATTGTCAACAGAATTATGGAGTGTGATTTATTTTCAACTGAAAATATATTTAAACTAATGAAATATGAAGTTATTAATGAGAAAAACCCGTCTGGATAATAGCAGACTGACTGCTCGTAAAATATACGACAGGTCTGGACCACTCGTGAATTTTGTTCATATCTGAAAAAAATCTTAGAATACAAGAAAATTGGTGAATGCACAAATTCTCCTAAATCACTCGTACGCACAGCTTAAGAACAAATCTGTGCGTACGAATGGTTCTTGCATGAGGCCCAATAATCCCTAAACGTACATCAGAACTGGACTCTGATTGGAGAAATCAGTATTAGGCTTCCGGATTGGCTTCTCCCCAAAACCCCGAGTTCAACCCTGTTGAAAACCTGTGAACTTGGTTTAAAAGCCAGGCCCGTGCCATGAAACCGATTTAACTGAGCTCTAACAATTCTGCCAAAAGGAAATATCAGCCAGTATTTTGTCAGATGCTTGCTGGAGGCTATTTCTGGGTGTCATCATCAAACTCAGAGATGTCAGAGCAGAACTATAGAGAGTGAACAGACCCAGGCTTCCCTCCCTCCTCCAGTCATGAAGGCTTTAATGTGACGTTAGGTCTTTCCTCAGCCCCCAGGGACCTCATAGACCCACAGCCTGCCTGACTCCTGCTCCCTCACAGACCGTACCTTGAGCGTCCTTGTTCAAAGATCATCTAGAGAAGGCTGCAGAAAGTGTGCTTGGATAACAACAAGGGGCATTTAATCAGATATTAGTGTGTGGTTGAGACTGAATGTGAAATTTTAACCCTGTTAAACAAAACCCATAAAAAATCTAACTTGATATCATCTCTATTTGCTGTAAAATCTGGATCATTGAAACATTACTTCTCTACAGCAGACTACTGTTGTCAGGACTTTTGTTATTTATTTTCTGATTCTTTGTGTTTTGGTTTTTGTTCAGCTTCTTTTTTCCCCTTTATGTTTCCTAAGATTCTTGTGGTTTTGTCATTCCTTGTCTTATGTTACTTCTGTTACATCATTTCAGTCTGTGTCCTTGGGTTTTGGCTTCTTTGTGTCCCCGGTGTTTCTCATTTCTGCTTCAGTCAGCTCTCAGCATTTTTCCCAGTCTATCAGCCCAGCTGCCTCCCATGTCTCAACAGCCCAGTCCTATTTCTTCAGTCTCCTTCCATCTTCACATCAGCACATCATTGTTTTAGATTGTCTTATGCTTCACTCATAGAAATTCTGTATTCTTTATTTTTGTTACATAAGTTTTGTTTTCTCATTTTGTTATTAACACATTTTTTAATTACTTCTGAGTCCTTGCAAGTCTCATTCTGAGTCTGATCATCAAACCCTGCACCTGTGCTTTCAAACTTACCCCATCTCAAACTTTGATGAACTGTTGGGATTCCAGGTGACCTACTGTATAATGATGATGATGATGACGGGCTCTCATGTCCTCCTCCTCCTCCTCTTCCCTCCTCCTCAGGCTTTGCTGTGAATCTCCAAGTGATCCTGGCCAACCCGCGGGCGCAGTTCAAGAGGCGAGGCTCCCAGCCGGGGATGCAGGAGTCCGACTTCCTGAAGCAGATCACCAAGGTGTCCGAGCTAGAGCCCAAAGCTAACAACTGCACACGGGTCAGTGATACCTGATACCTAAATACTTTACAATACAAATGGAATGAAATGATTTGCAAATTTTCTAAATATAGATTTTATTCTCAGTAAAACGGTAAACATATGAAGTGTTTGAACTAAAAGGATTGCATCATTTTTATGAAAAAAACCCTCCTCTTTGTATAGACCTCACCTGAGCGATTTAAATGTGGAAAAAGAGGGATTTAAAAGTATATGTCTATTTTAAAAGGTGGGGTGCTGTTGACCTCAACTGGTGATGTCATCGGGAGGTGGAAGGAATACTTCTTGGACCTTCTCAATCCCACCGGCACGTCTTCTACGGAGGAAGCAGAGTCTGAAGACTTTGGGGCTGGTCTGTCCATAACTGGGGCCGAGGTCGTTGAGGTAGTTAAAAAACTCCATGGTGGTAGGGCTCCAGGGTTGGATGAGATCTGCCCTGATTTCCTCAAGGCTCTGGATGTTGTGGGTCTGTCCTGTTTGACGCGCCTTTGCAACATCGCGTGGACATCGGGGGCAGTGCCACTGGATTGGCAGACTGGGGTGGTGGTTCCCCTCTTTAAAAAGGGAGACCGGAGAGTGTGCTGCAGTTACAGGGGCATCACTCTCTTTAGCCTCCCTGGTGGTCTTTTCGGGGGTACTGGAGAAGAAAGTCCAATAGATAGTCAAACCTCAGATCCTGGAGGAACAATGTGGGTTCCGTCCTGGCTCTGGAATACTGGACCAACGCTTTACCCTCACGGGGTCCTCGAGGGGTCATGGGAGTTGTAGACTTGGAGAAGGCATTCAACCGTGTTCCTTGAGGTATACTTTGGGGGATGCTATGCGAGTATGGGATTGTGGGTTCATTGTTACGGGCCATTCAGCCTCTATACAAGCGAGAGTTTGGTTCGCATTCCCGGTAGTAAGTCTGACATCTTCAGAGTGGTAGTTGGACTCCTGTTCACAACTCACATAGACAGAATTTCTCAGTGCAGCCAGGGGGATGGAGGGAGTCCGGTTCATTGGCCTCAGTGGTCAGTCTTCGTTCCTAACCTCACCTATGTCAACAAACTTTGGGTAATGACCAAAAGAACAAGATTGCAAATGCAAACAGTCAAAATGAGTTTTCTCCACAGCTGGACTCTCCCTGAGGGATAGGGTGAGAAGTTCAGTTATTCAGGAGAGACTCAGAGTAGACCCACTGCTCCTCCACATGTGTAGAGCTAATACTAGCTCTACACATTCTCCTCTCGTCACTGAGGTCCTCCATCCACATGACAGAGAGGGAAACGCAAAAATGACTCAGTCTGCAACTGAAAATATGGATTTAGGACCTCACTTTGGCTTGTTTGTCACGCTAGCGGCGAGCTAATACATATTAGGCAATATAGCGTGAGGGCTAGCGCAAAGGCTAACAGGCTAAGCTGAGGTTCTTCTTCCATGAAGCAGCTCTGTTGTCCTCCATCCATATTTTCAGTTACAGGCTGAGTCATTTCTACCTTCTCCTCATGAAGATTAACCTTCAGGGTGGACATAGCTCGCTAGCAGCCTCGCACCGATGACCTAGTTGATGTCATCATTTACCCAGAATGCTTTGCGTGTAAATAAAATGGCTCTGTCCATGTAATGTCCTGATGCATCTCAGTAATCCAGGTAAAAAATCAAAGGAAAAAAATTGTATAGGTCCTCTGGACGGGTT